AGACTAATCAGACGCTTGTAGCTAATATTTGTGGTTTGTTTGGTTTTCTCCTGTTGTTTGAACTGCTTCCAATATGTCTTGCCAGTGACATTTCTTCACCAAGCAGAATAAATACCAAAACTACAGAGAAAAGAGCTTTACTGGAGAAAGCAGCAAATGTGTTGCACTGTAAATAAAAAGTTTCTCAAAGTCACTGACTTCCTTCTGTAACTTCCATAGCAAGGAAATGACAGAGCTGGAATAATTAGTTTACTGTTTATAGACCTGATTCCAGTTCTGGTTTGTTCCGTTTGAAAGATAGACTGACTTACATTTTTTAATCCATTTTTTGCTCTGAAAGATTGGATGGAAGAGAAAATTTAATCATTTTGGTTTGTCTGCTTGTAGCATTGTTATTATTGGAAATTTTATTTGTGAGACCACGTTGCATGACCCTGAGTTTAGGCTCTGGGCCCCAAGGTGTTACATTTATTTATAATAAAAGATGACCTCTGCCCCTGAATTATGTGCAATCTAAATAGGCAAGGCAGAATGATCATTCTCCTTATATAAGTGAAATAGTGAGGTACAGAGCAATTCCGAGGATATCTTCAGTTCAGCAAGCTGGCTTCAAAACGGTAGGCAGCGGAGCAGTATCAGTGCAGCAATCTGCATGTGTGCCAATTAGCCTGGATGGATGCTGCAGTTTCAGATTTATATTGCATCTGAGATGCTGGCTAGTCTTTACACATACTGTTGTGCAGTGCCCAGCAGATATATTAGCCACTTTGGAGCATTATGCATTGCAAACAGAACCAAAGTAATTTAGGGTCATGCAGTCAATTTCAGAACTGTGGTTAACCTCACTACCACTTCTTCATTTCCTTCTCTTCTTCATTCTGCAGGAAAAATATTACAGACTCATAAAGCAATTTAGGGGAAGGGATCTTTGGAGGCCATATGGTCCAACTGCTTGCTTGAAACAGGGCTGATTTCAAAGTTCAATCAGGTTCCTCAAGGCTGTGTTTGATAACTCATCTTGTGAAGCCTTTTTCCCTACTTTTAGTCAGAATTTCCCTTGCTGTGACTTGTGTCCATTGCTTCTTGTCCTTTTGTTGAGCATCTCTGAGAAGAGTGTGGCACCATCCTCTCCACCACCCACTAGGTAGTTGTAGGCAGCAACTGACATCCTTCCTTTCCGCATTTTCCAGCCACTAACCACATTGGACTGGTTGGACTTGCTCCAGTCTGTTAGCGTCTTTTCTGGTACTGGGAAGACAGAAACATGTGACAGCGTGAGTCCATTCTGAACACAATAATCGAAACTGATGTTTTTTTCTAAGTGGTAAGCGGCATTGATCTCTGCTGGAAGTAAGCTCCATTAGTTATGTCCTGGTCTTGTGGAATTTTTGCCTCCATTCCTGAGTGTAAGCTACCAATTTCATGGCTCTGGCAGCTGGTGGTGTATACCCTGGTGAGCTGGAGCTCTTCCCTGTGCATACATGAGGTGACCTGGCCTAGTCCTGTAAAAGGCTTTGAAGATCAGGACAAAGACCTTCATAATGACTCACATTTAAGTGCTGTGATAGAGAATAAGTGAATATCTGAGTTGGGAAGAGCCTGGTGATGCAGAAGAGAATGCCAGAGAGAGGTGGCAGCTTTTAAGTCAGTTTTAGTGCTACTGAAAAATTCTGGCTGCAGTTTTGCACTCATAACTACAGCTGCAAGAGGAAAATACCGATACAGATGTGGATGAGGAGTTCCAAGAGGAAGATGAGGATTCCGAATAACTGCTTCAGGAGGAAGCTTTATTCTGTTTGGGGGTGTTTGGAACAAGTATCATTTGGGAGGAGGTGGCTGTGCTGCAGACCTGTGGTAACCAGCTGTGGTGAGAAGAGAGACAGTCCTCCTATGACAGGCACGTTGAGATTTTTGGTATGTTTTGATCTGTTCATCAAATGGCCATCACTGCGGGCACACTATCAGAATTGCCTTGGGGACCTGCTTTGAGGGAAATCACTTATTCTGGCCTGACTCTGTTTTTTTTTTTTTTAATCAAGGCTAGTGAGGCACGGGAACATTCACAGTGACATGACCTGCTGAGCTGGGCAGGCTGGTGTTTATTTTGGTCGGGTTTTTTTTCCGGTGGGATGCTGGTTTTGCATGTCCTGTACACTTTGGGATTAAAATTACTTGATGGTGCATGTTGGTTCAGTGAGGGGAAAGGTCAGTATTTGTAAAATATTTTTAGTTTGCTTTCACTATTTGTTCATAGAGCAGTGGTTGGATTTCAAAGTAATGCTAAATCCTTCTCCATGGGTGTTGGTGAGGCAAATGTGTATTGTCTGGGGGTTTTTGTGGCCTCCATGAATTTATACATTTGCAGAATTTGTGCTTTCCACTTATAGGCAATTTAGTGCTTTGGTCTTCCAGAGGTGTTCTTCATGTGCATATGGAATCTATTACACATGATTTATAGATCCTTTGTAGATTTAAAAAACAGTGAAGAATGGGATTTGACAATATAGGAACTATGAATTGAACTATGAATTAAACTATGAACTAAACTAAAACACCCTAAACATTTGAAAACTGTTTGTCTTCCTAAAAGTGGAAATTCATAAATAGTGGAAAACAGTGCAGGCTGTAGGGGTTTTAACTAAAGAAAAGGAGATATTCAGCTGTTAGACTTTGAGGTTTTGGGTTCCTGCAAAACCTCATAATAACTGCGATTGACTTGTCCTCTTTGTGACCACTGAGGAATCTCAGACATTGGACTCATGTGGTTCCATCGTAACATTTGGGAAGGAGGGTTCAGGGAACCCTCTGCTTTTCCAGGCTGCTGGTTTTGTTGCCAGGATAGAAAGACATGCTGTGGGAAGGTCTTGTGGTAAACCGCTGTTCAGGAAGGTGAGCTCTACAGGGCCTTGAAAGCTGAGACTGATGGACTTTATCCTTGATACAGATACGCTGGATCCCAAAGGGGGAGGAGGTGGATGTCGTGCAATAGCTTTCAAAGAGCATACTTTAAAACACTAATTTCCTGGTCTGCTTCGATAATTTGGTTTTAGCAGTTTCCTTGGTCATGGACTTTCCCTCTTAGCTCCTTTGTCCTCTTTGTCTCTTCTCCAGTTCTCTGCCAGTCCTAAAATGCTTTCCTTTGTATTTCAGAGGCTTTTCTGAAGATATGGGGCATTCCTTGCTTCAGTGTTCTCTTCCAAGATCTTCATATACCGTCTAGTTGTTAAGAACAGTGTCTTTGAGGACCTTGATGCCTCAGGTGAATACAGTAAGGTGAAAATTAACAACATTATTTGTTGTTCAATATCTGTGGTGACAAAGATTTTAAAAAATACCCAATAATTTTGAGATACCCACTACAGATCCTTTTTCTGTCTTGGAATTTGGTCCCACCTTCCTTTCCATGTGCTTGGGAATATGAGTGTAGGGGATCTAATTAGCTGATGCCCAAAAGAAGCGAAACGTCTGCGTTTAGGGACCCAGCACAGGGCAAGAGGCTATGGGATAGGATGCTTATAAATGCAGTAGATTTAGACCTGGATCAGTGCTTGGTCACTCCTAATCCTTTCTTGTGGCTTATGTATTTTGCTGTTGGTGGTATTTGTTGTTATTATTCTAAGTTTGCCTGAGGATGCTGGGATCTGTGTGTAAGGCCTGTTATTTGTGATGACACTTCACGCAGATATTCTGTGTCCGTTCTGCTCTATATTTATTATGTGATTGAGTCCAATCTCCTCCTGTCACAAGATGCGACTCGGGAACAGCTGTTCTTCCACCATCATGGAGAGATGTGTAGCCCTCACCAAAGGAAGTATATATTTACAAAGACTAAAAGGAACCCAGCAAAGTATAAATTGCTTTTATTCATCAGAGTTATGCCTTCTGATGTTCTGATTGTCTCAGAGGATGCAGACCTGGAGCCTGGATAAAAGCAGCCCTTTCTTGTAAAGTCAAGGGCCCTACTTGGACACTGTGTACCTCGCATTTCACTTTGTAACTCCCTTTATATGCTCAGCATTTGCTGTGCTGTCCTTGCTGCTCTATAATGACTCTGAGGCACATCTGGAATTAACAATGTTCATGTCTTCTGTGCCACTTATCTCCTGCTCGGCATTTTCCTCTTTCTCAAATGCATTTTTAGGATCTTGCTACTGATCAGAAATCAAATGACATTCTGAGATTTGCATTGAAAAAAAAACCTTTTCAGAGTTTGCACTATTACAGACCTGTTCTGATGAACTGAAGTGAGTGCCTGCTTATTCTACATGTGCTATGTACAGATGCAGAATTAACTGGGATGGGAGGCAGGCTAAAGGAATCCCTGTCCAGTCCTCATTACCGCTTCTGAACTCGTGTGAACTCATGCTTTTTCCTCACTCGGCCACTTTTTGGGGAGCTTCATCCAGCCAGCCCCAGTAATTTTGGAGTGTCTGACTCACAATAAAACATTTATACAATACAGCATGCAGGTGAACAGACAGTCTGATCAGAATAGTGTGAAAAGCAGCATGGAGGTGGTTGGTATAGTTCAGAGCATAGATGCAAGGGCCACATTATCACAGTTACAAAACAACACAGTAATTCCCCAGTTTAGTCATCCGGACAACTGCCCCGTGTAGATGAAGATCCTTTGGAATGGAATTCAGTTTGTAACAGATAAAAATCCTGAAAAGCAATGTCAGAGAAGCACAGGTTGGAATTAGACGGATACAGACAGCTCTTTCAGTTGGAAAACTGATTATGTTGAGGTTCCGTTTTCATTTTTTAACCCAGAACACACAGAACTGTAAACAGAACTATTCCTTTAGAGTCAGTGGAAACCGTGAGATTCACATACACAATAATTTACGAGGAAATAGTATTTTTCGTCTATTTCGGGTACACTTGTCGGAAGTAGTTGTAGCTCTTGCACAGGCTTTTGAATTTGTGATCTCGCATCACAGGAGCCCCTGAGCAACACATACCTAGATTTTCTTATTTAAAACACGGATTAGGACGGGATGTTGGAAATTGTTTTGCGCGGTGAAACGCGGGGTACCTCCAGCGGCCCGCCGGAGC